TGTGAACGTTCACATTTAAAATGTAATGTGAACGTTCACACAAAAAGATCAGATTTTTTCAAAAAAATCGGAACTGAGCATTAAGACCTGCAGTGTGAACGTAGCCCATGAGTCAGCAAATTCACACTTTGATTCAACCGTTTGATTTCTCTTAGTCACTGTTTCCTAATCCTGAATCAGCGTATTCACACTTTGAATCAACTGTTTGATTTCTCTTAGTCACTGTTTTTAACCATGAGTCAGCCAATTCACACTTTGAGTCAACTGTTTGATTTCCCTTAGTCACTGTTTTTAACCATGAGTCAGCCAATTCACACTTTGAGTCAACTGTTTGATTTCTTTTAGTCACTGTTTCCTGACCCTGAGTCAGTCAATTCACACTTTAAATCACTTGATTTCCCTTAGTCACTGTTTCCTGACCCTGAGTCAGCCAATTCACACTTTGAGTCAACCGTTTGATTCCCCTTAGTCACTGTTTCCTGACCCTGAGTCAGTCAATTCACACTTTAAATCTTTTGATTTACTTTAGTCAGTGTGCAAATTTCGCCACTGTGGGATCAATAAAGTTTTATCTTAYCTTATCTTATCTTAGTCACTGTTTCTTAACCCTGAGTCAGCCAATTCACACTTTGAGTCAACCGTTTCATTCCCCTAAGTCACTGTTTACTAACCTTGAGTCAGCGAATTCACACTTGGTTTCCCTTAGTCACTGCATCTTAACCCTGAGTCAGCAAATTCACACTTTGAGTCAACAGTTTGGATTTCCTTAGTAACCATGTCCTAACCCTTGCTTGTTTGTGTCTCAGCGGACGGCAAGAGTTTAGTTTCTGTGGGAATCGATGAATTTCACTCCATCGTCATCTGGGACTGGAAGAAAGGAGAGCGACTGGCCAAGACCAGGTAAACACATCTGTGTCTAGTTCACCTGGACAAGTAAACTCATCTGGACCCAGTTCACCAGTTTATTAACTGCAGTTCACGTTGTTGTTTGTTGTTTGTGATTTGAGACCTGTCCTCTGTCCTCTTTCCTCAGGGCTCATAAAGAGAAGATCTTTGTGGTGAAAAGTAACCCGTTCAGGATAGACAAGCTGGTGACCGTGGGAATGAAACACATCAAGTTCTGGCAGCATTCAGGTGGGTCCACTTCCTGTTTTTACCTGAAATACACCTGGAATGAATGGGGTCTGACCTGTCCTCTATTAGCCCACAGTGGGGGGTCTGACCTGTTCTCTATAAGTCCACAGTGGGGGGTCTGACCTGTCCTCTAATGTACCTAATATATATACTGTCTGTACCTAATTTCCCTCTGGGATCAATAAAGTATTTTTGAATTGAATTGAATTGAATTGACCTGTCCTCTACTGGTCCACAGTGGGGGGTCTGACCTGTCCTCTATTAGCCCACAGTGGGGGGTCTGACCTGTCCTCAATTGGTCCACAGGTGGGGGTCTGACCTGTCCTTTTTTGGTCCACAGGTGGGGGTCTGACCTGTCCTTTTTTGGTCCACAGGTGGGGGTCTGACCTGTCCTTTTTTGGTCCACAGGTGGGGGTCTGACCTTTAGACGGGGGATCTTCGGAAACCTGGGGAAGCAGGAGACCATGATGACGGCGTGTTACGGTCGGTCTGAGGATCTGGTCTTCACCGGAGCCACCAACGGAGACGTCTATATCTGGAAGGACACATCCCTCATCAAGACTGTCAAAGCTCACGATGGACCTGTCTTCTCCATGTGTTCCCTGGACAAGGTGAGATGGAGCATCCAACGTCCATCCATCCATCCATCCATCCATCCATCCATCCATCCATCCATCCACCCATCATCCATCCATCCATCCATCCTCCATCCATCCATCCATCCACCCATCATCCATCCATCCATCCTCCATCCATCCATCCATCCACCCATCATCCATCCATCCATCCT